CCAAATAGTCATAAATAGGTGTTTATTATACCGATGCTGACTTATCTTTGGTTAACTTTTGGGAGTTCAGGGGACACACACTTATGATATTCCATAGTATACCGATGCTGACTTAACTTTTGTTACGTCATAATATATACGCGTCACAATCCGTATAAAACTAGAAGTTTTCCGAGATGAAAAGCGAGGGAAACAGAATGCTGCCGGTGAATAGTTTGATGACTATTTCACCATTGGCAGATAGCACGAAAACTATTTCACAGTAGGGGCTGTTTGGAAAAGATAGCATGCTTATTCATCATGTTTTTATATTGAACAAATTCACAGAGGTATAATAAACATTAATATAATGTATAATATTCATACTGTAATTACTTCACTTCGAAAATATTGATATTCTTGTAAATGCCTTTTGATATTTCATTTAATTTGTCTTTTATGACTTGTCTCCATATGAGTGAAAGATTCTCGAGAGAGACGTTAAACGATATACAATCAATCAATCATAACTTAGTTTGTGTAGTGTGTCGTCCTGATTCTTTTCCTTTGTGCAATCTTTAAAACAATTTGTATAAAAGAAGTATTCTTGAAAATACTGTATCTGAAATTTTCATTTTTTCTAGAATTATTTTTACCAGCAGCAACTCAAACTTTCTTGCTGCCTAAAATTCTAAGATTTTAGGCATGACTCTAATTCTTGGTCAAATAAGAATGAATATGAATGAAACAAAATCGATATTTTAATATAGTTAAATACGAATGCGTATCAACTAACCAATCAGTTTCAGCGCTTATAAATGTAACGTATTTAAGCATGACATCAAAAAGACTAATAATCTAATTATCACAGAAACTCAATAGGAAGTATTGCATACAGAAAACAATATGAGTAGTCTATGGGTCTTCTGTGTTTCTTTTTTATCGTGTCTAAAGCTACTATTATCTTGCAGAAATATACCCCAATATTGGAATTTGAAAAGAAATCTAATAAAGAGCTCCTGGGAGAATACAACTCTGATTCGTTGATAGAATGTGCTGCCCTGTGTCAAAGCTCGTGTGGATTCTTTGGATACAGCCCTCAGTTAAAGAAGTGCCGTCTCCATAAGAAAATCATCACGCCCGAAATGGCGGATGAGGCAAACTGGAGATATTATTCGTATCATTGTAAGTAATATTTTTAATTTTGTTTTACAAATGTAGCCAAGATTTTCTATATAGGCTCTTGATTATAATCGCAATTACATTTGTTTCAAGAAAATAATGAGTTCAATTTCCCCCCGTATCATAATGTATATTTGAGTAATTTTAGAAACACAACTTGTATATTTTATCCATTGGTTTATATTTTTCATAAATATAATTTTTAGCAACAATTAAAAACACCAATTGTCTGGCTTTTTTTTGACATGTTTCATTTGATGTTAATATTGTATCTTTATTTACTGCAAGCTTAAAACTTAAACAAAAAATATAAAACCACTAAAATTTGAACTTTAGTTTCTAAACTTCAGCAATATTTTTATATCCCCGCTTGAAAAGCGGGAGGGTATATGGTAATCGTTAATTCCGTCCGTCTGTTACGCTTTAGGGTACCCATCTCTTATCCGCAACTTCTCTAATACCACTGAATGAAATTTGATGAAACTTTCACAGAATCTGTATTACATATTGCTATTGTGTACCTCCTATTTAACTTTTTGATGCGACACATATTTTGGGTTTCCCAGCCACAGCAAAACATGGACTTTGTGATTATAACTATAAGGAGACGGAGGGTAACATTTAGTGAACTCATCGCTCACAGTACCTCTAGTTCATATTAGTGTCTTAAAGATCGGTGAAATGAAAGTTTGCTGAATATATATGTATGTAACATTCTTTTTTAGACAGGAATATCTTAAACCGGAAAAATCTATCAATCATGTGTCATTTTTTTAACCCCCCCTCCCCCGCTTGAAAAGTGGGAGGGTATATTGTAATTTGTAATCCGTCTGTCTGTACGTCAAGCTGTCTGTACGTCCGTCCGTCCGTCCGTCTGTCTGTTACGCTTTGGGGTACCCATCTCTTATCCGCAACTCTTCTTATACCACTGAGTAAAATTAAATGAAACTTTCACAGAATCTTTATTACATATTGCGATTGTGCACCTCCTATTTTACTTTTTGATCCGACACGTATTTCAGGTTTACCATAGCAAAAGATGGACATTGCCATTATATTCTTACCAATGACGTGAGATATGGCGGCTTCTGAATAACATAAGATATCAGGAGTTATTCCTCTTTACACGCTACCGTAAAACGATATATAGCAAAACATGGACATTATGAGAGGCGGGGGTATCATTTAGTGAGCTCATTGCTCACAGTACCTCTAGTTATTTCCAATACAGCTTATTAAATTAAAATGAATTTTGCTTTAGATGATTTTGATGTTAAGTTTAAATTGCGATTTTTTTCTTAATTGTATAAGCCTTTTAAAATAAAAAAAAAAATTATTTGAAGAAATAATTGTTCAGTGCTTTCAATCACGTACATGTATATCAAGTATTTTATCTTAATTTTATTTATGGTACATGTATTAATGAACTCTATATTTATAAAAAAAAATATTCTAGATTGGGTGAATATCTGAACTTGAATACAAAATTTATCAGTTAATATTAAAGTATTTAATCAAATCAAGGCAACACAGGTAAACTCTACCTCTTAATTTACAAATAATTAAAAAAAAATCAAAACGATAAGATGGGGAGACGTGGGACCAGCTGCATGAGATTCATTGCCCTTTAACATTAAAATTTTTGCAAAGTTCAAAGCTCAAGGTAATTCCAAAAATGAGAAATTTAGCTTTTTTTGATATCTCTTTTTCTCTTTCACCATATACTATCTGTCTTTGCATAATTTTTATGCACTCTTAAAACTATTTCTAAGATTTAAATCTTGTTCCCGAAGATTGAACCCAAAAAAAAGTTAGTGCCCTTTATGAAAAAAAACCATGTTATCACTCCTCCCTGGAAACTGTTAAGCGTAGAGACACAAAAACTTCACAAATGTCTTTGGAGTCTTTAGAAACAACTTCAAACTATTCAATGCCGAGGGAATGTAATGGCCCTTTATTTTAGTTATCATCCTTTAAGTTTAACGTCTTTGTGCTTACTTTTAAACCTTATAACTTTAAAATAATAAGTCGGAGATGCATGGGGTTAATTGCAATGTGTTTTTTGTCCTTGAATATTTTTCAGGTCAAGTTCTTTTCCACATATTTATAATTTTATATTTTTTCACATTTTAAACAATTTCTTTCATGAAATTGAATCTAATGCGATATATAATCAAAGTACTGAAAGTACTGAAAAGCGGTTAGCATGCTTTCATCGAATATGTACAGTGTACAATAACAAAAAATGCATTGATTGATGATATTAAAGTAGGCATGCATATTTTTTTCCAGTGTCGTCAGCGAAGAAGCAGACACACTGAATTTTGTAGTACTTAACTAAATGGTATAACCAATAACATCCCAGACTGATGTCACAAATGTTTGTTTCAAAATATCAACCTGAGATTTTCAGTTTGAAAGACAGGAAGTTCAATGTCAAAAATTTCTCCCTAATTGTCTCCCTTGGTGGCGTCCAAAAGTGCTCAGAACGAAAAAAATTATGTTGATGTTGCAAATTTAATTGGCTTTCATGCTCTATTGATTCTGAAATTGGCATGATTAGGTAACTATAAAGGCTACGATAGCAAACAACTCAAAAAGAAAATAAAATGATAATTCAACTTCTTTAGATTAATTGATGTGGAGTACTGTACATAGATCTTTAGCTGGCTAGTCTGGGAAAAACGGATGGACGACCAGAGAAATAATTAATTTCAGAGGGCTTCAGTTCGTAGGCTCATTGCAGGTCAGCAGGTGTGACCTGTCATTGGGGATGCTTACTTCTCCTAGGCACCGGAACTTTCAAGGATCCGTTTTTCTTTTGAGACCGATCACTGTTCATTCTGTATTTTGATACAGATACTGAGTACATCTGTTTATTAATATTATGAACTATTTCTCTCACAGGAAGAAAGACAAGTAAACAAGATAATAAAGTTTTAAGAAATGTACATTATTGACTTTTCATACAATTAAATGTTCGAATAAGTAAATGATATATGACAATTATTTAAAAAAGAGTCTTGCACGATATGTATAAACGAACATATACTGAGTATTTGGCAAATATTTTTCATGAAATATTGTGAAAAAAAAAAAACCCGTGTGAAAAGGAAAGTTGTTGTTTAATCCATCAATACTAGTATTTTAAAAATTCAAAGGTTCACTAAAAGTCAGTGTATAACAAACAATTAAATTGTCCATTGCAAGAATTACCTAGGTATCATTGTCACTTTCTTCAATATGTCGCATAAGCAATACATTGTTTTTTTTTTACTAATAACAAGTATGCGAATTTCTATCAATATGTCTGTAAGCATCTGTATTTTAATTTTTATTTCTTCTCAAAGGCTCAAAATGATAATTAACAAATTGGACAAATTCAAATTTAAAAAGTATTTTTACAACTTATACCTTGCATAGGAATTTAGCAAACTTTCAAAAATAATCATTCATTAGATATAATTTTCAATTTGTGCTTATAGTCAAGATTTTTCATGCCTCTTTTTTCTGTGCATATTTTATATCGGCTGATTTTGAGAAAAGGATCAATTGCCGATTTAATAAATTTTTTTTCTCCAATTTTTAAAAATTAATTTTAGCATTTTCAGGCTCCCATTATTATTTTTTTTTTAAATGTGATCGTTTAAAATCGTTTGTAATAACTGAGTACAGAATTTATCCCTGGAAACAAAGCTTTTGTCATCTTTTAAATAATTTCAATTGAGAAAAAATGGAGAAGAAAACAAACGTTTCATTATGGAAGTAATCCATTACTGTACAACTTACAAATGTATTCAGTATTTTTATATAAAGGCTTTCTTCGTGTACTAGTATTACTAAAGTTAATTAAAGGGATGCCTTAATATTTTGGAAAATGAAACTCGATCGAGAGATTCTCCGATGTTTTGCAGTCGGTAATAAGCTTCAACCCCTTTAGCGAGTAATTAACCCGTCCTCCCTGTGCCCAGTAGCATAATTCGGTCAAATATTTATTGTTCATGAGGGGTGCCTTATGATCAATCACAGGCACCTGAATTTTGATCAGTAAGTCTCTAAATTAGCCAAATATCGAAACATCGAAACATTCTACCCCTCTACATATAATTACACAAGGTGTCCAATGCCATTTTGACCACCTGTTCGATTCAGGCTTCAATTTAACACATAAATCGGAAATGCCTACTGGTTTTCGTGTAACATTGGGTTCAAATATGATATTTCTCGCTATACATTTCTTCCTAAAGTTTAAATCTAACGCGTTGATAATGTTATCAGCTAAACTTCATGCTGACTTCGAATTTCGTCACAGGTCCCGATCGCCATCAGCTGACGTCACGGAAATTTAATCTCGACACCAAATGCTCCTATACATAAACTTTTTTCAATACAACAATTATAAATTTATTTCATTGACAAACAAAATCAGAAAAAAATTAAAAAACCGAAAGATTATGTTGTTTTGGTAGTCTTGATTTTATTTAACGTATGTTATATGTGTTAGAAACAAATCATAGGTACTAGGTATATAGAGGCTTTGTTGAAGTTTCCGTTGTCGATAGGTAGCGCCTTATGGAAGTTTCCGGTGTCGATAAAAATCGGACACATGCCATAAAGCGGTTAGCGAAGCTAACCGCTTAAAAAATGAAATTTGAATTCAGAGAAAGTTAAAAGACCTCTAATTGTTCGAGAACAATTAGTCTCTTAGTTGTTCAATTTTTCATTTCTTCTCCATGCAATCAATACATTTACAGATAAACGAGGCCGAGTCTTATGACTTTGCGCACCTTTTCAATTTCATCCAGTCATATGTGCGGTAGAACAACTTTCCCAAATATTGTAATTTGAATACAGAATTAATATTCACTGTAACGCCTACTAGTTTGAAAATGTTATTTTACGGGAATGATTAGGAGTAAACACTGAAATGCCAAAAACGACGTCATTTTCCCTTTAGAAAAAGTATTACCATTACCATTTTCTGTCAAAAGAACTGTTTGTCAAATAAAAATTTTACAAAGTGCATCAGAGACGGAAGACAAAACTGTAGACAGATTTTTCTATCTTGAAACAACAAGGCGTTTCTTACATTCTTTTCAGGACTTCTGATGAAGTGACAAAGGCTATTTAGGTAATCAACCTTTTTTCGATGAAGTTTTCATGCAATCAGCAGATAAAAAAGCCTCAAAAAGCCTCGCATATAATATGGATATTGCGACGTGATTAACATTTTTGCATATGATATATTTTAGGATCGGCTATCATTACTTTTACTGTAATACAAAGTTTCTACCTTATAGTTTTCAAATGAAACATATCCTTGTAAAGTTAAGAATAAAGACATAGATCAATGAATCGAAATCACAGCTCTTGCAAATTCCTTAAGCCATTTGTTTAAACTCTTCATCCCGGTTCAAAGAACTGCAAGTTTATCACCAATATATATACGTGTTAAAAATCTCCCAAATCCTTATTCGAAGGTTTCTCAGATTATTCGTAAATTTTCAAAACAAAGACAACATTCAATGATAAGAATTTTGTCTTTTCATATAGAAAGGTGAAAAATATCAAGACTTTAAATATAATGTTGTCTGCTGTTTTATTGAAACCGGAATACCGAAATATGTTGTGGAAAGAGTGTACTCTCTAACAGATTTTTTTTTACTTAAAGTACTGAAAAAGCATTGAGTAGTTTATTATAAATTTAACGAATAAGATGTAAAATGCTTAATAAAAATATTACAGATGAACAACACAACAAAGTGCAAAATTTAGTCATATTCCGTATTGGGGAGGGATTCGTGTTCTGCTTATTTTTATTACTAAGAAGTGCATGATTATACATAGAGAATAATATTTACATTTGCATTAAGCCTTTAAATTATAAGAAAAAATACTTTTAGACAAACCTTTTTAAAATTTTTTAGACAGATAAACGGGAATTATTGTTCAAAATTTCGTTCCTTCTCCATGTAATCAAAACAGTAACAGATTAAATAAAATCCTCTACAGATATATTTATATCCACAAAATTTCCTGTAATGAGAAAGACAATTTTGGCTATTTGAAGCTTGTTTTTGCTGACCCTTTTGTATAAATCATTAAAAAACACAACTGAGTGAAAATGTCAATTATTGAACTAACAAATGGGGGTGACTAAAACTAAAACTACATTACATATACAAAAAACGTATATAACAATTAATTGGCTGGGCTTAAAACAAAATATACATTTAATGACAAACTGACTAGTTATTAATACATACTAGTTACATGACATAATTTTCCCTAATCACATGACACAAACACAGCCCAGTCAATAGTTAATGGTATAAAAATGTTTTGTTGCGCAGAGCTGTAGAATATTTTCTAGTTACACAATTACGCATTGAAACCAAGTGACGTAAATTTGTGACGAAAAACCACGTGAGTTTTAAAAGTGCGCAGAGCTGTAGTATATTTTCATACTTTGACGTTTCCAATGACCTTGACCTCACTATTCCTTCATTTTGAAGTTTTTTTAAAAGTTTATATGTAAGAGTAATCATGCTCAAAGGTCTATTTTAACAATACAATTTGGGAGCAAAGCAAAGATTGACCTCTGTAAACATTAGAGGTGGAATCAGGTGATACCTTAAGAAGTAGAATGATTTATCTTACTGTCATAATATCTTAGCATTACCTCTGACCAAAGAATTTCACACTGGCAAAGCAAACGTTCCTTGTGCGGGGAATTCATGTCATATGGACACATTTATATCTTTTTCAGCATTACCTTCTGATTGTGAAGACCTTTGCGAAGCTGGTTACAGAAGTTCAGACGTGTATCAGATATATCCTTATGGAACCATCACCAGTCCTGTTACAGTTTACTGTGATATGGATACACAGGAAGGCGGATAGACAGTAGGTTTATCAATAAAGCAATGGCTTCATGACATGTAATCTGGAATTCGTAACTTTTTTATATGAGTTTCTTTTAAGAGTCAGGAAGCATATTTTTCTGAGCCCATTAAATTCAAAACACGATGCTTGTCAAAATAACCATTATTTACTGCATATCTTTTCAAGATAATCCAAAAACGAATAAATGGAAATCTGAGCTTTGACAGAAATTGGGCGGATTATAAAAAAGGTTTTGGTGCTCCGGAACACAATGTTTGGATTGGTAAGTTTAGATATCATTAAAATCGGATCTTTGATTTGTTGTATTATTTTGAAACAATAATGTTTGTATGTACACATCAGTAGCGAACCTTAATGAAATTAAGAAGAGGGGTGGATTTAAAAAAAAAAAGAATTTTATTTCAAAAAGTTGTGTCAACGAAAATATTATAGTCTTTGAAGACTTTAACTGCCGGTTAAGCAATTTTAATAATGCTGATAAAAGTGTAAATCTTTAACAGATTTGATAAGGCATTATAACATGGTGACATGGGAAAAAACAAAGCATTGTCAGGTTTCACTTGGTGTGATGCATAAAGTGACCCTAAAAGTCGCATAGATTATATTTTTATTAATGATTCTTTTTATTATAGCATTACAGATATTGAGATAAAAAAAACAGGTACCCATTCAAACGGAAGTAGAATGAGTGACCATACATGTAGATACTTAAAATTTAGTTCTGATATTGAATTAATGATAAAATGACAAAATTAAAGGTCCCGGATATTGGAAACTAAATGTTTCCTATCTCGATGAAAAATACAATTTTTTTTAGACATTATTCATATTATGAATTCTTCTTTAAACCCTATAATGACATTGGAGTTGATTAAACGAAAGGTTGACGATTTCTCTATATATTTTGTAAAAAATGAACAAAAAATCAATTAAACAACAGATAAGAGCAATGGAACGCGAAAATAGAAGATATGGAAGAATAAAATGTAGAAAATTTTGATAACATTTAAAGACTGAAAACGACGCTATATATGACAAAAAAGGGCGCGGATAAGATCTAAACTTAATGGATTGAGGAGAGGGTTTCAAAATATTTTTTTTATATCACGTATTTATAAAAAGGGCGAATAAGATAATTATAAAAATTATAGACCGATTAGTTTAACGAACACAGATTACAAAATCATTGCCTTATTTTTACAAAAAAATATTAGAAAGGTTAATTAACAAAAATCAGACTGTATACATAAAAGGAAGATATGTCGGCGAAAATGCTAGATTAGTACTTGACGTCTTTGAATACTGTGAAAGGGAAAATTCAGATGGTATTTTTTTTTCTTAGACTTTGAAAAAGCTTTTGACTCGGTTGAATGGAATTTTCTTTTCCAAGTCTTACTAAGAATTATAATTGGCAATCATTTTTTAAAGTGGGCAAAGATTTTATATACATATCCAATGTTTAAAATGAAAAACAGCGGCTGGCTTTCTCAAACCAGCGAAATGACAAGAGGCACAAGGCAAGGATGTCCTATTTCCGCTCTCCTGTACCTCTTTGTCGCGTAGAAACTAGCTACATGTATAACATTTTCTTTAATTTTTTTTCTATGCCTTCATTCTTAAAAAATTCAACTCTCTTGAAATAAAATATTTCTGAATTCATGTTTCATGGTATTAAGTCAATATTGTCACATTGTCTTGTTTGTGATGTAATTTGTTAAGTCTGTTACATGTATATATATATTTCACCGTTTGTTTGTATTAAAAACTTAAAATAAAACGTATATACTTAAAAAAAGTAATGAAAATAAAAGACACTAAGTAATATTTTATCCATGATCTTAATTTCTTACGTTTTTTGTGTTTAAGCCCTGTTTTCTCGAAGAGTTTAATTCGAATTTAACGTAAGTTACTGTGAACTTATTCTATATCATTCAAATCACGTTTTGATTGAATAATTCATCACTGATGACATCTTCTGAAATAAATAGTAAACGATTGCTTGTTGTCAGTTTCATTAAAAAATTGCTAGTAGCTTAGATCCACCAACTGGAAACGCCACCCTACTCACGTTTTCGCTAGCTTTTGACTGTTCATAGATGAATAAAGTAGACGTTTAATTTAATATACTATACTACTATGCGAGTGAAATCTTAAGATAGTTTACAAACATCATTTGAATATCGTATTTGTTAGAGGAGTAAGTGAAAATTATGATGCACCCGTTTCGAAGTTTTTTTTTTGTAAAATCTATTTGTCTAAAAGTATAGATAGTAAACAACTATTGACAACGTCAATAATTTGCTCTTTATGGACTCTTACAGGTGCATTCAGTTTCCTGCTTAGAGAGAACAGATATCAAATTCTCTGATTTACAGGCCATGTTGATTTTATAAATTACAATATCATGTTTAACAAGACGGCCATTTGCTGGATATCTGTTTCACAATGTCTTTCTTAGAGTATATCTATAAAAAGACAAACTTTGTATTGTAAATTAAGTATCATTTAATTGATTTCATACATACTTCACAGGAAATGACGTCATTCATCAGATAACAAAAGAAAGGAACTCATCTCTATATATTTCCATCACACTGGTAAATGGAACCACACTCTATGAGCTGTACGATCAATTCTCAGTGTCCAATGAAGTAGAGAATTATAAAATCTTTCTGGCGGGGAATGTCACGGGCAGCTTAGGTACGTGATGGTAGAAAGTATATCACCTGATGGAAATAAATAATAATTATAAAATAACAAGCCAAATCAAAGAAATGAGGTCCCTGTTTTGGAGTCTTTCTGGGGGAAATGTAACATTTTATGGTATATTGTTTCAAATATAAACGCCCTTTCATATGTCATTCAGAAGCCATCACAGAAGTTGACTTTATTTTAAAATAAGGTCGATCATGAGGGTCAACTTCAAGGGGTCAGAAATTATGTAGCATGCTCAGATATCTGTACGTGTATCTTGTCACAGGAAATGCAGATGTCTACTATGAAAGCCCTATCTCTTCTCAATCAAAAGTTATTAAGATGAATGAACTTTATTTGAAAATTAGGTCAAACTTCAAGGACAAGGTCATGAGACCAAAAATCATAGTGTACTTAGAAAGGTCTTGCCCCAAGCCATGTTCAACTTTAATATGAAACGCCTAAGTCTCTTCATTTAGAAGTCATGAGTAATGTTTAAGATTTTGAAAACTATGTAAAACATCACGTTCAAGGTCATGGGTTCAAATTATCAAAGTGTATTCAGGAAGTTATTGTCACAGATAATTTACAAGTTTATCATGAAAGCCGTATCTCTTAACATTAAAACATATAACGAATTTTAAGTCTAATGTTTTATAAAGTAGGTCAAACTTGAAGATCACGGTTATGGGGTCTTAATTCATAGTGTATTTAGAAGAGTCTTGTCACAGGCAATACACAGGTTTAATATGAAAAAGCTGACTCAAACTTTAAGGTCAAGGGGTCAAACATCAATGTTCATTTATAAAAGTCTTATCACAAGTTATATAAATGTGTAATGAGAAAACCCTATCTCTTCTAAACCAAATATATATGACCAAGGTAAATTTTTTTGTGTCAAAAGAACAGACTGACAGACAAACAGCTAGACAGACAGACGAATGTGATCAATTTAATTTCCACTCGCTTTAAGAAAGCGGAGGCGATAAAAGCTGTAATACCTACCTGACTGTAAATAGTAATGTTTGTTTTTCTTTGATTTTGTAGGTGACAGTATGGTAAACACAGGGAGGCCTGATAATTCTGATCTGTCCGGGATGGCTTTTAGTACGTTCGACAATGACAACGACAAGAATCTTAACTATAACGGTGGCAACTGTGCTCTTACTAATAGAGGAGGATGGTGGTTTAATTCTTGTCACTACGCCTTCCTTAACGGACCGTGGTCTTCTTCTGACTGGAAGAGACTCTGGCTTCCTACTGTCAAATCTGGGACAGACGTGAGGGCTACGATAATGATGATAAAACATCGCTAAATACGTCATTTGTCGACAAAACGTCATTAGATGTGTGTCTTCTTGACCAAACGTCATTAGATAGGTCATTTACTGATAATACATTACTAGATCCAAATTAGAAATTTTTTTGAGTGCATTATCAAGCTTTTCATGACTTCGTAACATTTTAAATGGATTTGGTTTATTTCATAGTATGTTAAGGCCCATCTCCAATTTTGATATAAAACATGCACTTTCAGAGGAAGGTAAGGTTTAAATTCCTAAGTAATTTTTGAAATATGTATATTGTATCTTTGTTTTACCTTACAGATTAGGATTCTTCAAGAGAAACTACGAGTTTCTTTAAGGGTACATTGAAACATTAAATGCATTAAACATTAAAACATTAAATGCATTAAATTTTTACGAGAATGGGACATTTTGTTCATTCTTGTTTATCATTGTCAACAGACACATAAATTCCTTTTATTTACGTTGATTATCAAGCTACATTATTTAGTCTAATACAGGTGGAAAATAAACTAAAATTGTGATAAATCTCTTGTATAAAGAATGTATTTTATATCAAAACAACAATTTTGAATCGTATGATTAGAAAGGAATATCTCTACTTATAAATCAGTTGTACTTTACGAGACATTCCACTTGGCAGAGATGAACCATAAGAACTTCGTCATATATATTTCAAAAGGTTATGTGTGTTTAATTCCAGATCTTCCTCTAGCTCGATATTTTTTCTGTAGTTTTTTCTTCAACTGTGTCATTATCATCATCATCATCATCATCATGCATGGTGTGTGAAATATCATAGTTGTTTATCCTTGTTGACTCTTTCGATTTTATCAAATCGCTACGTTTGATAGAGAAAATTAGAATAGAAGAAATCTAATCAACGAAAGGAGCATATGCATCAATAGGCCCAAAAGCCACAATAACTATGTCATCTTAGCCCCGATGTTTACCAATCAAAGATTGTCCCCACGTTTTACCAACGATCTATTGTGACTCCATCTAAACTCTCTGTGTTTAAACAAAATTGTCATGCTTCAATCACAGCATTTTAGTATCATTTGCAAATGATACTGCAAAATGACTTTTTATTAAACAGTTATTGGTTATCAGCTTAAGGTCACAATGTTTACAACAGTACTAAGCCCTATTCCAAAATTTGGGCAAAAAGTAGAAAGCACATGGACAAATAAGATATCATGTTTAAAAAAGCATTAGTTATATTGTCCAAAATAAAGTGTCCTCAATTTCTGTGTAAATATGTTGTTAAAGGACATGATAGATTAAAATCCCTTTTTGGCCCCCTGGTTAAGGTTGTCTTAAAGAATGATGAAACAGTTTATAAATAAAACTATGCCAAAAAGGGTGTATTGGTTCTAAGTTCTAAGAAGTCACAGGAAGATCAAAAGATACCGGTATGTCAATTTCCGAGTTTTCTCATTTTTTATACAATTTTTCATTGATTTTCCAGCACATTTTGTTTCAGAAAACATAGGACACACGCTTCCTATCTACCAAATTTATCAATTTCATGAATAAGCATCAGATGCAAATTATTTTCAAAAGTCTCAGATAAGCAAGATTGCGCTCTTTGTTTCCCAAAATGACAGTATACTTGACGAAATGCCACCGGTATTGAGGAAATTTGGGAAAATATTACACTTCTACACACTCTAGAGCCATCCGGGTAAGATTTGAATCAAAATTAGTTCTGGTTTTAAAATAGGCATCATTTCAAGTTCGTAACTGCTAACTATCAAAATTTTTTACTGTATTCTGGTTTTTAAGTAAAACAATGGGCCAGATTTGGTGCTACCATTCCTTGTCCTTTATTTTCGCCTGGTATGCCCAGAAGAGTTGTAGAAGTATGTAAACAACTGCGTATGTATCGATGTTCTGTCTGCTTTAACCATAAAGAATCTCGTCTGTCATTGTATACAAAAATTATTTTATAAAGGTGCCAAGCTTTTCTTCTTTAGCAAAATTCTCTTTCAATTCCTATTGTTTTAAAATTATTCCGTTGAATTTGCTAAAAAAGAAGAGAGAGAGAGGTGATATTTACTTTTCTTTTCTCTTTGCTGCGAGAAACGGTTGTCGAAATCAAAATAATGATATCTTCAGAGAGGCTCGAGCATAATCGCCGATACCAAATACAAGTTCAGCACTTCTGTTAACGTTCTTCAATTTCACTATGTCTATTGTTTTGTTCAAAATTGCAGCAAATATATTAAGCAACAGAAAAATGACGAAAACCCCATAAGTGAAATAAAAGAACATAGCAAAAACTTGTGAGACTTTCATTAATATTGCAACATTATTTCTCCCAACGAGTGTGTTCGCCAAATTTCCCAAAACGGTGATGATGTTCCTGAAGCTGTAAACAGACTTCCCGAAAAGTATATATATCAGAGAAGCAAATGCACACAGTGTGATGCCAAAGACAACAGAAAACCCCAGTAAAGGACTGGAAGACTTATAAATCACTCTCCAGAAAACCGAAAATGTCTTGCTGTACTCAAAGGCCCTTGAAATTTTTAGAAAGGCAAAAAATGAAATGATACCCAATACAAACTGGATTGCAATGTTCAGTACAATTATTTGGTAGTAATTAATGAAATTGTTTTCTCCTGTATATTGTTGATCATAAAACATCTTCTCAGTTTTGTCTGATATGCTTTTGCGGACAACAAAAAGGATCATACAGCAGGCACTGATCAAGGCAAATAATACCTCCACCCAAAACCAGACCCTTTTGATGACATTTCTACAGTTTGTTATCAACTGCACCACAATATCAACAGAAATAAAAATAAAGTATAGAACAAAAAGAGCTAGAGAGGTTTGTAATGAAGTAGAACATTCGTTAAAGGTCAAAGATTTCGTAAATGGCCGTAAATGAATATATGGCATTGCAAATCCTTGTTCGAGAAATTCCAGCACAGATACTGCATTAATAAACATATTAGTATTTGGGTTATAGAGTGTGAACTCTGTCAAGACAGCTCTTGTGTGTCTGTCAATCTAATTATTGTCTTTGGCATCTTAAACTTGTTCTGATTAGCACGTTCTTCATCCAAAAGCAAAAAGTACCCACCTCTACTGTTCGTGTTATATTCAGCAGACACAGGTGTGCCAAAAATAACACTAGAATCAATACATGACCACGCATCGATGAAACCAGAATCAGAACAATCGGGCCGCCATTGCTGTCATCTTGGGCAGTGAGTTCCCTTGTCTTCTTCAGCTAGTATATACGAGTCTATACATGTACATGGATAGGCAGTGGATACCATAGTGCTCTCACATTCCCTTAAACAAGCAAACGGTATCTTTTATTGTATATGTGTGTCTTACATTATTTTGGTATTTTTATACTTCTTTTATATTTCAAATACATGTTCATTATTCATATCTATTCAGACTATTCCACAGATCTTTAAAAATGATTTCCCAACATAACACAAGGTAGTTTGATAATGAAAACTTGATGAATACAACATAATTTAAATGTGTTTCTTGAAAATGTATTGATCGTTTTACCAAGAACCTCTCGGTTTCATTAATTCATTACATGATATATAAAGTATAGATGTTAGCTTCAAATGTGCTTATAGGGGAGAATATTACTAAATTACTGAGTACATTATCCAACAAAGATAGGTTGAATAAAAATTCTTAAATGTTTAATTCATAATTCCAATATTCAATTACAAGATCAAGGTTAAGAGGTAAAACGTTTTGGTATCCAGCGAAAAGGTCTTGTTATACACTTGTACAGGTAATATGAGAGAGCACAAGCACCAGAAATTCAGAAGTAACGACCAAAGTTAAAATCGGCAGGTTAGGTCAAATTCCAAGTTAAAATTCATAAGGTAAAATAATAGACCCCAAAAATGCCAATATATAACAAATATGAATCCCCCCAAGCCATACTTGGTACCTTTTCGAAGTGATTGCGATGGCAAATCTTTTTCAAAAGTATGTCAACTCTCAAACTCTATGATAAAGTTCAAAGGTAAAACCATTCGTACTCATGCAAAACTTTTGTAACAGGTAATAAATGTTGGAATTGTTTAAGGCTTAGAACTAGACGTTCAAATCTTTTGGGCAACGTCTTTAGAAAGTTAAAAAAAAATATGTCATGAAGTCATGAGATCAAATTGTATATAAAAAGCCTTGTCACAAAAAAATACATTTAAGATATATGAAAGCTTTGTCTTCTACCATTAAGATCTTATGACCAATGTTAAATGTTTTCAAAAGAAGGCCACAGTCTCTGATCAAGGTCAAATGTAAAAAATAAAAATGGTAACCAGAGAAAGATTTTGTTATAAGAAACAGGCAATTAAAATATGAAAGCCCAAAACACCAAATGAAAAAAAATTAGCCAAGGTAAATAAGAAAATAGGTCAAATTTCCAAGGTCAAGATCGGCAATGTTGAAAGATATACACATGTTGGAATCCAAGACATACACATTGAACAGTTCAAAATTAATGGCAATTTAGAAGTTTAGTAAAATTTCGCAAACGTAGGTCAAAGTCTCAGACCAAAAAGTCAATTATCATGTACATGAAGAAATCTTACGATGAATATACTCAAATTGGACCCTTGTGGTACGAACCAAATATTTTTAATTTACTTTTTTTTTAATTCTATGACCGCACAAATCAAGTACATTCCAGTTGTAATTTTGTGCTCATCTTAGCAAGCGACCGAGGGTCACAGATCCTGAATCCCTTTAGAATGTCTTGTACGTATAAGATACATATATATGTAAGCATGTAAAATTTAAGAACCCTAGGATTGTCCGTTCAAACCATATGACCAGGGTTCAAGGTCATAAAATGTAGGTCAAAATCCAAGTTCAAGATGTTGAAAATGTTGCAACCTTAGAGATGTCATTGCCATAATATACACAGACGAGAGACGCTTAACTACTAAGTTTGACTACACATTGTTTCGTATACCCGATCAAAGGGCTCAGGGTAATATGACAAAACAGCAGGAGATGCTAACTCCTTAGAAGCACAAGATTCCACTTCGGAATTTCCCGGTGTTCCTGTTTTATGAATTGTTTACAGAATTGTATTGCTTGTATTTTTCATGTTTTTATTTTTTCATCTTTTTCATACGAAAGCCCGAGCACCAGATAATCAAAACTTCTATCAAAAATTAAAGTTTTCAAAGCAAACCAGACTCCAAGGTCAAGAGGTCACATGTGTTGAAACAGAAGAGAATGTCTTGTCAGACGAAATGCGCGTGTCAAATATTAAAGCAATTGAGTTATACGTTCCGGCACAAGGACCAAGCTGGGTTAAAGTTTGGTGAACCTTTCAAAAATGGGCC